TCAGGAGGTTGACATAGAAAATCAAACTTTCCTAATAGTATCTTAAGTCACTGTTCTGTGGTTCTGAACTCCATAAAACAAGTACGAATCTCTACAAAATCATTTAAACATAGCCCAAGTCTCATTTAAACGAAAGAAATTAATTTACATTCAATATTCAAACATTACTTGGGATCTTATTGTGGAAAACGAACAGATTATTATGTAAGTATATTGGTTTCAGTCATCCCCCTTCCCTCTAATCGCTGCATGTTTTGTATCGATGCCGGTGCCGGCAACAATCTAGTAAGTATAATGTGAATCCACTCATATCGAGTGCCTCCTTGAGTATCGATTCGGTTCCAAACAATGCTGTAAACGGTTGACGACTTTTAAGTCGCGCATTACCTACCCTGAGACCTTACCATGAACTCTCAAATCCGATGCAAGCGGTGTTGATAGAGTGAAATAGCGCTATAAGCATATATAACACCATCCTGCTTATACTGCTAAGAACTCTTGTAAGAGCCTCGAAGTATTGTATAATACGATTTGTAGATTGAGACGGCTTTAATGGATCGGTTTGTTAATTTACCTTATATAATTCGGGCTCCATTTCATATAACATCCTCATTATATGATTCGCGAGGATCGCATTTGAGTATTATAATTATTACAACACTTGAGGCAAATAAAACGACAGTACTGATATAAAACACCTGCATATATTTTTATAGTACAAATAACAAATATATTTTACTGTTAAAACTGCTACATTTCGACTACAAATCTTTAACAATGATCACTACTACATGACAAAATAAAACAATGAAACGGTTATTGAGAGGATTATATCACCCATTCAGTAAACATAAAAGACAAATCATCTTAAAAAACGTTGTCAATGTGAAAGTTACGGTATTAAGGTCCATTCACAGTGAAAGCGCAGGCATACGGATTATATTGCGTACACATCAGTGCTTGTGATGTAACTATTTCGGTATTTTATTATAATATGTCTAGCAAAGAGATAGTAGAATATCCCCAATAAAATTATATTTAAAAATTACAACACTATAAATACATCCATCAATATTGGACAACATACAAAACAATTGACAATCTAACAAGTGCTAATAAAATATCCGATCAGTATAATACTTATCGATACAACTGAAAGGGCAAGGTATTACATTACAATAATAGCATTACCAACTAAGCGGGAAATAATTTCTATATAAATTTGTGAACTATGTACCCTAACTTTATTGTTAAAGTTTAGGTTTTGGTGAATACTTAGAATAATAGTGTTACAGCACGATCACACCTTCCAGATCACGTATTATTTTGCATAAAAAGAATCAGACTATAACGTTAAATTTTATCAAGCTATATGCCTACCCCTATCAACCATGCCACATAAATAAAATCGTTTAAAACCATACCATAAATGTATTTAGATAACACCTTCTAATACCAAAACTGAAAAAACAACATATAGTACACGAACTGTTAGGGTAAGTCATTTCGAAAAAAATATTTTATTAAAGTATTGTATTTCTTTAAAAAACATCATTATAAAACTGGAAGACTAAGAATTGTTGGCCAACTCATAACGCTATAGAAAATCAACACTGCTTAAACATTACATTAAATGACAACTATCTACAAAATTTATTTCAAATATCATATTTTAATTACACAATAATGAGTACTTTGAATACGCAAGTTTTCCTCCGCTTTATTATTGTTATCAAAATAACAAGTTATTTACAAACTAATATGAATAAGGCCTATCCATTTACAGCTCTCAAAAGATCTTATTAGTATAAAATGAAACTTAACTCAATGACATTCTTGTATTCAGTTATTATGAATACGAGAATGTCATCGACTTGAATTTCATTTTAGAAACTAGAAAATCTTTTTATATCAAACAATCCAATCAATATCAAAATTACCTTCACATCTACCGGTACATAGCGTATCGAGCACGTAACGATACCGATACTGCACAAATTAGTTTCACCTCTAATACCAACAGACGAAATAGAGAGACTTCCATATACTAAGAACACAATCATAATATTTTCAATAAGAATCTTGTTTGTGCGAATACGCTACGTGCCCGCGCGCGTAATTGTGAATCCGCCTTTATATAATGCATGTATGGTACCTAAACTAAACCACAATTGCAAATTCAAACTAAAATTATATATATAATGTGTATATTTTAATTTATTTAGCACTATAATAATCGAGTTATACAAATGCGTAGATACGCGTATATAAATCAGTCGTAATTTTTATTTAAAATCTTAGCCGCAAATCATGAGGTAAATAATTAAGTTATAATAATATTACATTTTATAATGTTTTTATTAGGCGAACATGTGCATAGAAAGGGAACAAATTATTGAGATTGACCAATTTATGAAATCTTTTTGAGATACTATTTTTTCATGTTTTGTTTTTCACATAAACCTAGATATAGTGAATCAGTAGTAGATACTTGATAATGCAGTTTAATCCAAGTACTTTAAGTTTGCACTACCTAAATATAAAACAACATTCGACAGTATAAAAAATTTGCTAATTTTATAATCTCGAAAAATTATAATATATGCAAAAAAAAAGAAAACTGATTACAGTTACCATAAAGTGAAAAACTACTTACACCAAGATTTAAATAAAAAAGTTTTTAAATGCAATATACCGCAGATACAAAGATATAAGAAATAAATATTGGCAGATTTGTTCCTACTTCCATATTGTGACTACTTATTTTTGCTATAATTAATTTATCATAAGTATGTTGCTCATAAGTAAGCTCTTAGCTTGCAGAACGTTAAACATAAATTTAAATGTCATACATTATGGTTTAGGCTGCCCAAACATGTCAGACTATGGATATTATGCATCCGTTTATTTTGATCTTATTTTATTAATGTACTTTTCTGTCAGCTATCTTAAATGGTTGCACTTGAACTTGATTACTTTTATACAGGGTTCGTAATTATCAAGATATTTTTTTGTTTATAATAGGGAATATGCACGTTTTTTGAAAATGGTTTCATATGATAATTTACATCGTAATATAACTTTAAAAAAATACCCAGCGTTGTAAAACTAAAATTTAGTAACAATAATAATTGATGTAAATAAGTAATATCTAAGAGCAGTTTAAACGACGGCATTTTTGGCGCGCTTGTCGTGACATAAAAGTGCACGACTAGAGATATGACATTTTAAATTAATATAGATTTTGAGTGATTATTATTCAATTACCCAAATCGATTAATAACTAACCGATTTTCTTAAGTATAATAGACTTTTGACGTGGATACGTCTATGTTTTCGTTCTACAGGGGGTCATTCTGTGAGCAGGAGCTTATGCACTAACGCCATCTATTGGCGTATAAGTGAACTATGCTTGCTCTGCAGGGGGATGGGCATTCTGTCAGCAGGAGTATATGCACTAACGCCATCTATTGGCGCTAGTGAATACTTTTTCATTCAACAAATGAACGCAACGAATATTTATTTATTTAGTGTCTTCAATTTGTTTATTTATTTATTTTTTATCAATTAGTCATATATCCATTCATACATAGACGTATCCACGCATAAAAAAATATGAGGGATTTTTATTAATCATATAGTTTACCAAATTGTTGAAATAAAAACAAAAGCCTAAAATATCATTTCAATTGTAGTCTGTTGTTTATTTTGCGACATAATACATTGATGTTATTGCATCGATGTTAAGTTTTTGTAACAACGACATCCCTAGTAGATTTTCGTCACATCTGCTCTAACAAATAACATTGCATTTGATTATATTGAAGTTGCCGCGTTTTTTTTGCACTTTTTAATTAATATTTTCAAGGCGAAAACGAACTATATTGAAAAATAATTACATAGACCTTATTCTAATGCATAAATGATCGTAATAAAATATATTTAACCATTTTTTAGTCAGACGCATATTCCCTATTAATATGATAATTATCCGTGTGGCATTCATAATTAAATTAACTTTCATTTTTATTGTTTTAAACTATAAAGAATATACAAAAAATATAAAAACACAAAAATTTACTGTGAAATCACATTGAACAAAAAGTGAAATTAAATAAAAAGGGGCTTTATATATTTTTGGTGTTTACAGGTCCACCCTAGACAATTTTCTCTATCATAAAAACCTCATTTGATAGTTGTTTAAAGATGATTCCCCTTTTATAACAAGTCCTAAACTATAAAACGACTTTGTATAGAGTTGTATAATTAAATATATTTAATAAAGTATATTTTTCTTGATGGGAAATATTATTATGAATAGCTCGGTGGCGTAGTGGATAAGCGCCGCGGCCCGCGATCGTTGTCGTTAAGCAACTTTCGCAAGGGTCGGTCACGGGATGGGTGACCAAAAACTTATCATCTCGAGCTACTCCGTGCTTCGGAAGGCACTATAAGCCGTTGGTCCCGGCTGCATTTTCAGTCGTTAATACCCTCCAATCCGCATTGGGCCAGCGTGAAGGGTCATGGCCTATCCTCCTTAACCATTCATAAGGAAGGCCTGAGCCCCTGCAGTGGGGACGTAAAAGGGCTAGTGATGAAAGTATATTTTTCAAGATAAATGACATGGCCCGTCTTCTCCTACCCTAGGAATCAATTGAAATGTAATTAACAATTTGTAAAAATTTACAATTGAAATATATGGTGCCGATGACAGTTGTAGTGATGGGAAATATTATTATGAATTTGATTGATCGATCTATCTCAATTATGTCATTCAGTGACTGACTTTTTCCATCAAACTTGCCTTAAATGAATATAATTATTCTCAAAGTAATATATAATGTGTGTTATAAGATTTAAAAAATCCGTATATTATTATGACATCTGAAAAAGTTTACTTAATTAAGTACTACATATTAATTTAAAGCGAGGCTTCATGAGAAATAAATATAATATTAAGTGACCTCCGGGTGAATATTAACTTTTCTTGCATTTTATTTCGTCGATATCAAAATATCAGTTTCACAGAACAGTAAATTTACAGTTTAAATTTGCCTTAACTGATTTTTTAATTACATATGGTGTTGGCATTACGCAAAGAGTAAAGATGTACTGTAGTTACTATCGCAAGTCACAGTTAATTTACGTTTAGATACACGCATATTTTAAACACAAATTTAATGTCCATTATTTCAGCCACTTCTTGTAAAATTGAAATAAAAAAAAAATGCGTATCCAATATTTTTCTATTATCTGACTGATAGAATAAATAGTTTTTTTTTAACTCTATCATCATGCCTATTATCGCGATAATTATCACTCCGAACCCTGCTTTCACATGATAAAAATATTAGATAATTTTACAGACAGCTTATAGGTCGGCGACAGTCTAACGCGAGTGGACAGCCTAACAGGTATAAATATCTTTGTATTATGTATCGAGCGCCGCACAGTATTGCTGTAGTGTGGTCACTCCGTGCGAGGCGGATATTCGTGAGTGACTCGCGGATACCGCGGTGTTAATGTGGGCGTTGTGCAACTCCGCCACTTGCGTGGAACAGGCGGCCGCCGGATCACCGGAAGCGGTCAGACTGCCGATCCTACATGATTGTTCAATTATATATATGTATATATTTAACTCCGGCAGTAGCTTAGCAGAGTAGCTCGGTGGCGTAGTGGATAAGCGCCGCGGCCCGCGATCTTAGTCGTTAAGCAACTTTCGCAAGGGTCGGTCACGGGATGGGTGACCAAAAAATTATTATCTCGAGCTACTCCGTGCTTCGGAAGGCACGTTAAGCCATTGGTCCCGGTTGCATTTGCAGTCGTTAATACCCTCCAATCCGCATTGGGCCAGCGTGGAGGGTCATGGCCCATCCTCCTTAACCATCCATAAGGAAGGCCTGAGCCCCTGCAGTGGGGACGTAAAAAGGGCTGATGATGATGATGAACTCCGGCAGTAGTTACATATTTCTTATATTTAACCTGTAGAAGGTCTGAAACGTCATGCCAGCAAATATAAATGCGTTAAAATCGTTCGAAGTTGTTTTATTTAGTAACTAGTGACTGAAAAATTAAGAAGTTATAAATTGAAAGACAGCTATATTAACATGAGTCGAACGTAGATGGACGTATAAGAAGAAAAAGGCTGAATAGTAGATTGTATATATCGACGCTAGAAAGCAACCCGCAAAATCAAAGTTGATCTTCAGAAACCAGATAACTTTTTACATTTTCGAAAAAAAAAACAAGTCATTATAACATCGATGGTACAAACATGGTATCTCTTATTCAATTAATATGGAAATTAGTTTATTTCTAAAAAAAATTAAAAAGTTATCTGCTCTGAAGATCAATTTTGGAGTTGTGGGTTATTAGGTATTTGTTACCCAACGTCGATATATATATGGAACTTGCGTCAAAAACTGAAAAATAGCAACCTAAAGTGTCATAGCTAGAATGGGTGGGGCAATAATAGGCCCGGGGCAGCACTAATTGCATAAGTAGCATTTTCGGAGTCTAGGCACAATAGCCTTAATTAATTTAGTCACGTAACATAGAATACGACACTTACAATGTAAAAACTTTAAAAAAACTCACCAAAATTCGTTCCCGGGATGGGCATTTCCATCCCACGGATAAGTGATCACCAATAACTTTCCCTCGTGTTGACCCACTAATTTGGCGGAAGGCTCTCTATTATTCAATGTGACATTAACGCCACCTCTCGGATGCCTTTTGCTTTCAAAGAATATCCTCTTCTCATCATCGCTGTCAGCAAACAGACTCAGAACACCACTACTAGGCCTTATATATGCGAAGTTCACATCGGATACGTGGTTCAGTAGGTCCTTTTTGAGAAAAGATCGTATCCTTTCTAGGAAAGTGAGGACGTATACGTCCGTTTGGTGGGCCGATATCTTCCATACTCCGAGACCTGTCCGAAGTTGAAAATTAGTATGCAATTTGTACCTTGATGATTTCGGTTATGAAAAAGAAGAATAACCAAATAGGGTTTGAATTTGCAACGCTAAGCTCAGTTTTGATATTTTAAATCATCAAAAATCTCAAGCCAGAATTACACCGGTAAAATATGTGAAATCAAATTCCATATTTCAATGGATAGTCTCCTTTTACTGATTATGTATTCTAAAATTATTATTATCACTCAAAAATATTTTATAGCAAAATATGCAGTAAATGATTGTGTATATTTGAATAGTGTTATTTGAATCAGATTTAATCAGCGATGGGAATGTCCGGGTGTTTTGGGCGAATTGGGTTTTTCCCGAAACAAGTTCCCGCCTACTGGGCGTTTATATTTCTTTATAAAAATTATTTGAAATTTTAACGAAAGACATATTTGTGTTTTGTTGTTGAAGATAAGTAAATACACATTACGAGTATAAGTATAAGATGATACATAATGATAAAAAAAATATTTTTCAATTTTTTTTTTTTTAATTCATTGATCAATTTTTCATTGCCTAGGAACTATTAAACTATCTATTAAAGTTTGATTTGAATGATCTTTAGTCAGTAATTTGTAGAGAAAACACTCACTACGAAAGGTTTACCGAAATTCAATTCCCGGGGGGGGATGGAATAAGGGTTAAAAAATTGTATGAAAGTATCAGTTTTAATGTTAGGATTAATTTTTAATCAGTAGGTCAAAAATAAATTTTCATAATAACGGACTTCCATACAAACTTGCTACACTTATTTCACCCCTCTCCTACCACAAGGGAAAAATTTATTTTAACAGTTAAGCAGTTGTTAACTCTTTTTTTATTAGTAAACTAAAAAGATAATTTCATATTTCTAACTTTAAAACTGACGGACTTCCCTATAAACTTTCGACCCTTATTTCATCCCTTTAAGGGCTGAATTTCCAAAAATCGTCCATTAGTTATGAATGAGTATAAACTACACAAAATAACTCTACTGACCAAAGATTATGTCCAACTTCACCAGTTTATGTTTGGTTTGGTCACACTAATCTATACTAAAATATTTCTTTAAATAATTCGATATTAAAAGCTAAATCACTGATATAGTTCTTTATAAATTAAAAATCTTTTCTTAAAACAATATAATTTTTGGTGCTCTCTTATCGGGCATTTATCTAGCAAATAAGATTTACACCCAAAACACCTGGACTTTTTTTGAAACACTCATCTCTAAATGTAATACAAATTATAAACAGCAACTTGTGGATAGCTACGTTAGTTTTATAATATTTTTCAAAATTTTGTCATTTATAATTCGTACCTGTTGTATTTTCCATTCCATTGTATTTTCATTTTTTCTTTAAAGATATTTAAAGAAACATGAAGGGGGAATAGAACAAAGAAAAGGTTCGGCACCGTAAGTCGAATTTTGCTTACAACGACTCAATAATCAGTATTAATTTAACCAAAACGTATGTAACGACAATGACAAAATTTTAAAGAAAAATAAACCTTATTTATAAAACAGTTACGCATAGTTTTCTATGCAGCATTATATATTGTGACTTAGTTTCATAAGGGTAATAAAGTTCTCGCGACTTCAAAGGAATCTGTTTGAAATTTGTCCATTCCCCTACTGTACCTTATAACTTGTATCTACCTCTAATATTAGAATAACCCACCACATCCGATAATATTGAGATAAGCATCTCTATTAGCTTCCTTAGCTCTATGGTCGGCCTCCAACAATGCACTCTCCGCTAGTATTGTGATCCTCTTGTAATAAACTTCATTGTCAAATATGGAGTCTTGCGTTGTAACATATCGGTCAATATACTTTTTGTCATCAGGTTTATCTTGTAGGGCGACGTACGATATCAACTCTTCGTAAGTATAACTGTGGACCTGTAATTTTATAATTTATCAATAAAGCAGCGACGAGACTGCTTCACAAGGGTGATGATACTTCGTCTAGAAAATAATTATGCAGCAGCTATAGCCGCATCAAAATACATTGTAGTTTAGATAGCACTGTTCTTGTTTTATTGGCATCTTTTAATCTACTACTCTGTGCATCTGTTTTATATACATATACAAATGACGTCATTAATATGTCAGACAGCGTTTCGGCTTATATAAAATAAGATTATGGGATTGTCAACTCGCTAGTGTACGGTTACTACACGTGATTTTTGGCTTTCGTTTTATAATTTACTTTCTCTATCCTTTCTACGTAGTATTACTGTAAAGTGTAAACATTAATTAGAAACACCTGTAGTGATAGTTGTTTTTTGTTGGTGCTGGTGAGTAACTTATAAATTAACTTTGCATCCTTTCCATTGATTGCAGAGAGTAATCAATGGAAAGGATCCCTCCTGACCCTCCGGATCCTCCGGACAGGGCACCCACGCCTGTACCTGCGGAATTGTCTCCCTCAATATTTACTCAAACCCAGTTAGGCACTAAAAGACGGAACATGACTAACGAACAGACAGATGCTCCAATCAAAAGAACTATACTGGAACTCAGTCAGTCACAGACTATTTCGTCTTCTCCAAATTTATATACACACCCATCTTTATCAAACTCTCAAACAAAACAATATTTAATGTCAGATAAAGGTCCTTTTATTGTTCATGTTTCCAAACTAGAAACAGATCCTTCATCTGGTACCTCGATTCATCCCATCAAATTTGGGCAGTTCCTTGTCAAAAATAAAATTAAAAACATTACCAATGATGGTGTAAAAAGAATAGGTCGGAATAGAATTGCTTTTGAATTTAAGACCGGCTTAGATGCAAATAAATTTATTGATAACGGTTGTCTCACACTTCACAAATATTCAGCAATTATACCAAATTACAATATTACCCGCATGGGTATTGTTAAAGGCATCCCTACAGATTTGTCTATGGAAGAATTAGTTGAGTCTCTCATTGTGCCCGTTGGCTGCGGCCCAGTGTTAAAAGCAAGACGTCTCAGCAGGAAAAATGTTTCTGAGGATCAGACATCATGGATTCCTACTCGCACAGTGGTCTTCACATTTCAAGGTCAAGTACTGCCCCCAAAACTATATATTTTCCACACATCAATGCCAGTCGAACCGTATCAACTTCCAACTATTCAGTGCCTTAACTGCTGCAGGTTTGGACATATCAGCACTCAATGTCGATCTAAACCAAGATGTTTCCGATGTGCTCAACCTCACCGTGGAGAAAGCTGTGAGATACTTGAAGAAGATGCAACATGTTTATATTGCTCTTCTAGACACTTTGCTAACAATAAATTATGTCCTGAACAATCACGCCAAAAGGCTATTAAACTCGCCATGTCCCAAAACAATGTCTCATACCAAGAGGCAGCTGCAAACTTTCCTCCTGTCAGGAGGTTATATTCCGACATTGCACAGACCCCTATAACCACCCAACCAAATATCCACGTATATCAAGAATCGCCTCAAAAATCTCAGATTTCCTACAGGAAAACTGTCTCCCAGGAACCAAAACCCAAACAAAATTTGAGTAAAGGCTATGACAAACAAGCCCATCAAAACATCATTAATAATAATGGAGTTACTACGCCCAACGGATGCGCTTTGAATAATTCTTCTAGTTCCATTGACATATCCCCTAATGACAATCTGCTAGAAATTCTTTGGTCTGTACTTTTCAACTTACTCAACAGATTTGATGATGTACCCATACCGCCCAACGTTGCCTCAAGACTTAGTGAACTTAATAAATTTATACAAAATAATATAAATAATGGCCAAGATTGTGCAATGGAACAGTAGAAGCCTACGACCTAAAAAACATGACCTATTTTCCATTATTAATGAATTCCATCCGTCCATCCTCGCCATTACGGAGACATGGTTGAAACCTGGGACTCTGTTTAATGTGCCCGGGTACAGCTGTCTTCGGGATGACAGGGATGACTTAGGTGGTGGCTGCAGTCTTCTCATAGCAAGCTCTCTAACATTCTATCAACTTCACTTACCCCCTCACAGCCAGGACATAAACGCTGTTGCTGCAAGGATTTTTAATATATCTTGTGTATCAATATATATATCCCTTATCCAAACCATACTTTAATGGAAGAATTAAAAAACATTATTAGATCACTTCCTCCCCCTGTGCTTGTAATGGGTGATTTTAATACCCATCATGTTTCCTGGGGATCTTCACACAATGACCATTGTGGCTCACTATTACTAGATATCCTTGATGAAGAAAATTTATGTCTTCTCAATGATGGCAGCCCCACAAGAAGGGCCCGTCCTGATCAAAACCCCTCTGCGGTCGACTTATCAATCTGCTCCCCTTTTCTAGCTTCCAATATATCATGGTGCACCCTCAATAGTACTTACGGAAGTGATCATTTTATTATTTTATTAACTTTGTTAGACAAATTATCTTCGCCCATACGACTTCCACCTTTATTAAAATTCAAACTCAATAAGGCAGATTGGTCGTCCTATTCTTCGGCTTTGGATGATAAAGATAACCTCCCTCTAATTAACGTTGAAAACTGCTTTAATATATATAATGACTTTGTCACATCACTGCTCTCTGCTGCACATTCACATATTCCTCTAAAAAAGAACTCTCCAAATAGAAAAATATATCCCCCCTGGTGGAATTCTGACTGTACGGAAGCTATTGCGGAGCGTAAAAAAGCGGAGAAAAAATACAATAGTACAATGTCTATGGAAAACTACTTGGCCTATCAAAAAACAGCAGCCAAAACTAGAAAAATACTTAATCAAAAAAAAAAGAAGGATGGCTCAAATTCTGTGAGTCTCTATCACCAGGAACCTCCTCTTCCTTGGTCTGGAAACAGATTAAGAGATTTCGCGGTTCCCTAAATTCACCCAACAGCAGTTCAAATGACTCCTCGAACTGGCTAGAAACGTTCGCAGATAAATTAGCTCCCCCTTATGTTCCTTACATTGATTGCTTTCCTGTAGAAATCAACTCCATGACTCCCACTAATGGAGACCTAGATGGGCCTTTTACATTCGAAGAACTACATAGAGCACTTCAAGGCTTAAAAGACACCTCTCCAGGCGCTGATGGCATCCCATATTCATTTTTAATTAGAGCTCCAGATAAAACAAAACACCTTTTCTTATCTTTGATCAACTTTTTCTATGAGCACGGCATTATACCAGAGTCTTGGAAGAATCAAATTATAATCCCTATCCTCAAGCCTGGGAAGAATCCCTCTGAACACGCCTCATATCGACCCATCGCTCTTTCGTCAGCTCTCCTTAAAATTATGGAACATATTATCAGAAATAGACTAGAATGGATAGTGGAAAGCCAGAATATCATCGCCAAATCCCAATTCGGGTTTAGAAAAGGATACAGTACATATGACAGCCTAGCAACCCTTACAACAGACATCCGTCTGGCATTCAAAAACAAAGAGTACATGGTAGCAATTTTTCTAGACATAGCATCGGCATATGACAACGTCCAGGTTCCAATACTCAGGCAAAAGTTGCAACAGCTGAGTATCCCTGCGAAATTGGTACGCATCATCTGCAATACTATCTCTTCTAGATCAATCTCCATTAGATTTCAAAATGTTTCCCTTCCTCCCAGAACCATATGGAACGGACTACCACAAGGCTCTGTACTTAGTCCTTTATTGTACAGCATATATACCCACGATCTAGAAAGTACAGTGAAGCCTTTCTGTGAGGTTTTACAATACGCCGACGACGTAGCTCTGTATATAAGCGTCAAATCTATCCCAGAAGCTACATCCCGCCTTAACCGAGCGCTGTTTTATCTAGGAGACTGGCTGGGAAATCATGGTTTATCACTCTCAGTACAGAAATGTAGCGCTGTCGTTTTCACAAAAAAACGTTTTATTCCAGATCCTAATCTGATGTACAATGGAAGCCTAATTCTTTTACAAAATCAGGTCAAATTCCTAGGGGTAGTTTTGGACTCTAGACTTACAGGCAACCCGCATATCGATCAAATCCTAAAGAAAACAGAACGCAATGTGAACGTGCTACGGGCGCTATCAGGTGTATGGTGGGGAGCCCATCCTATGACACAAAAAATTCTATACAACGCCATAGTGCGTAGCCACTTTGACTATGGTACTCCCTTCTTAGAACCTTGTAATAAGGCGGCATTAGATAAAATTGATAGAGTCCAAAGCAAAGCTTTGAGAATTGTCTTAGGCGCTATGAAGTCGTCCCCAATAAATTCCCTCCAAGTAGAGTGCGTCGAGCCTCCACTGTATTTACGCAGGCAATACCTATGTGACAAATTCATACTTAAAATACTTTACAATTCTTCCCACCCGCTCATCCCAAAACTACTTACACTGGCTGATATATACGAATCTTGTACGGAGACCCGGAACCTCCCTTGTATTGTAGTAAGCTTCAATAAATTTTATAGGCCCTCTATTCTGATGGAGAAATTTGCCGTCAACCCCCTCTATCAGAACAGTTTCTACTCCCTTATATTTCAACCGGATATCCGTCTTAACTTTGGAGTTGAAAAGAACTCTCCGAGTGCTTCTCACGATTTCTCAGAAACTCTCTGTCTAAATTGGCAAGGATGGATACCGATGTACACGGACTCCTCTAGACTTACGGTAAACGGGCACGTCGGTGCCGCAGTGTGGATCCCAAATTACAGAATAATATTGAATTTTCGCCTTCCAACCCTCTCATCTGTATATACTGGAGAGTGTATCGCTATTCTGGAGGCCGTGCTGTACGCGGAATCGCATAGTTTGGACAAAACTATAATATTCTCAGATTCACTTAGCTGCCTCCAAGCTCTTGAGGCCAATCCATTCCGCTCAAAGTCCCGAACCCCTGCCGTTCTTAAAATTAGAGAAGCATTATTGAGATGCAAGAAAAAGGGTATCAGTATAGTAATTGCCTGGATTCCTGGGCATAGTGGAATAAATGGTAATGAAACAGCTGACGCTTGCGCGAAAAACGCAATTACTACAGGAATTTCTAATCACTTGGAGGTCCCTCATATGGACCTAATTCCTCTTGTACGCACCCATCTAACGCAGTCCTGGACTCTAGACTGGCAGAATACGAGGTCAAAAGCTGGCAAAAGCTATTTCGATCTACAACCTTTTATACCTAGTAAACCGTGGTTTTTCGAACTCAATAATGTCCCAAAAAAAGTTATCTCCGTCATTTGTCGCCTCCGACTTGGCCATGTTTGCACACCGGTACATCTGGCTAAAATTAAAGTTCGGGATAGTTCTCTCTGCGAGTGCGGACTGGATGAAGGGTCACCGGATCACATTTTTTTCAATTGCCCAAATACTCCCCATTCCCTTTACGATTTCTTACCCGAAGATATCCCACGTCCGCTTAATATTAAACTGCTCTTAAGGTCTATTAAAGAGGCCCCAATAATAAAAGCACTAACAAAATTTATCTGTATCAATAAATTAAAACTCTAACATAGCTAATCTGTGTGTCTAATATCCACTAATTATGTCCTGTATATGTTTATAAGTTAAATTAAAATTGTGGCGTCCAAAGTTTATGTTGTGTTGTTTTAGGTAAAGCGACCTAGAAAGAGATTTACTACCTATTCCAAATTGATTATATAAATCTATTATACCGTGTAGTGGTCTCCTACGTGATATTGGCAGGATTGTGGTTAACACAAAATAGCCATTAAAATAGAAGAAGAAGAAGAAGAAGAAATAAGATTATAATTTCAATAAATTTAAAGGTAAAAAAAATGAGTATTTTTCCGATATATTTGTTTTATGGCTTATTTAAAATAAAACTCTTTCAAGTGCAAACACCCTATACCCTACCTACACATAGTTTAACACTCGCCTGATAGAACTCGGCCCACATCTGCCGCCACATGTGCCGGGCGGACTGGTTGTTCCTCACGTACGTGGTCTTCAGCACGTTGAGGCAGGTGGTGGGCGTCACCTCCTCGCCGTAGCCGTTGGAGAGACAGTTCTGTTGCTCCGTGATCAGGACATCCTCGTAGTCCATACGGAATTTACGTTCGAAACGGGCGCCTATTAACCCTGAAATTAACTTGTACATTTATAATTCGTCGTTGCTGCTGAGAATGTTTAAATCTTGAGTATGAGCCATAAAAACATGTGTTCTCATAAATTTCATTATGTAGCCTACAGCTGCCTGAATGAATCCGGTATGAAAAGGTATAACCTTTGGATTGCCTATTTAAATTAATAAAAGAATTGATTGTTTAACATAAGTAATTATTATTTTATTCGAGTAAGAAATGCATGTCATCATGCTTTATTTCTACGAAATAAAATGGTTTACAAAAGGTAAAATTAAAGTAGACTTTTAAACGTAACACAAGGTTCTATATGCCTTCAAATTATCTTTGCAATCAATCTGAAAGAAACAAAAAGAAAAAAAGGGAAATATTTCTGTTTAAAATAAAGTGTGGATACTTGCTGACTCTCATGGTCCTTGAATCCAGATCCAAATCCAGATGTTATGTAATCTATTAGATTCAATGTCTAACCAGCAAAACTTATTTTAAAATCCTTACCAATAATAATAGCATCCTTCTCAGCGTTATCTTCTCTGACGACACCCGCGTTACTTCTAGACCCATCATTGATACATTCAGTGGGTCCGCTGACATACACCATGGCGGAGAGTTTCATCTCGTCATAACTCAAACAGTTCTCCAAAAGGAGAGGCGGTTTCTGATGGAGAGTGCCTACTGCTTCCCAACCATCTACACTGAAATGGACAATTACAATTTTAATTTTCACTAAAATAAATGCAGCAATCTCTCCAAATCCACATGATACTCCTCAAATTAATCTTGTCTATAAAAAAATATTTAGTTGATTCAAATCACATCATCAACATTGGAAGAATATTCAGCAAAACCTGCAGTATCGCGGGGTCTTCTTATTTTTATAATATTAGTCTTCTTATTTTTATTAGTTTTATAATATTTTTGAAACCAGTTTATCTAATAGAATAATTTTGTATGGTTTCAGGCTTAATTGCTTCCCGTGTCAAAAATCAGATGTGGTATAAAATATCAAATCATATCAATCAAAATGTAGGAAAATATATCATATATTGCAAGGATTGATGTAATATGGGTCTTAAGTGTTAAAGTATATTAAAAGTTATCATATTATACTGGTATTACTGTATATTTAAATTGAAATGCTTCATTTCTAAATTCAACTTTTAACGAGAAGCATGAAAATATTTATACTCTATAATAATTTATAAATATAAATTATTTCTAGAAGGAAGCCTGATGAATTTCCCATAGAACGTAGAAACAAGCTGCTGTGTTTATATGCCAAAATAGAAAAGCTCTAATACATATCTAGGTTTCAAGCATTAAAATATTCCAACATTCTACTACTGATATTAAGATAAAAAAATATTGTAAATTTTGTTTTTAATAAAATAAAATACCAATAATTCCAAACCAATAAAACCAATAATACCAATAAATAATTTAGTAATATTTACTTACTCTTCTTCACCAGTAAGAAGTTTATAGGCATCCTGAGCGCCCATAAACATTACAGCACGCTTCTTCAACAACCTGTCTATCAGTTCTGGTACAGTCATGTCTTTGTAAAAGGCTTTCTCAATGCTTGTTCCAAATTCCCTATGGAAATATTCATGTCAAAATATAATTTTGAATGATTAAGTTTATTATCATTTAAATATTTATACATTGTATTAATAAAAGACTAAACTGGCCAAGAGTGAGTTAAATTAAAAAACCATAGACTTCGTACATAAAAAACGATTTTCTATGTTTTTCCCAAAACTTTAATCCACTAGTTTCTGAGAGCAGGAAGAGAATTAGCCATTTAATTCTATTGTTAACTTGGAATTATAAATAAACATGGCCCTATTTAGATACTAGTGGCCGCCAGCGACTTCGTCCGCGTTTTCCATTTTTTCTTCGCTCCCAATAGTTGCAACGTGATGTTATATAGCCTAAAGCCTTCCTCAATAAATGATCTATTCAACGCAAAAATAATTTTTCAATTCCTACCAGTAGTTCCTGAATTAGCGCTTCCAAACAAACAAACTCTTCAGTATAGATGAAATACTGGCCAGAACGATCCTTCTAGCATGATTCAGTATTCACGCGCGATGGCTTATTATTAGCGTATTTCATGTATAACTTTGGTGTTTCTATACCGATTTCTATGATTCTTTTTTATGGAATACTTAATACTGTTAACTTTTTAAATTAGGGATGATTGAGAGTGTTATAAACGTAAGAGTAGATAATAGACAAATACAATCAGAAAGCTTCGAACTGCTAAGCTATCGGAAGTTACACGTGTTATTGTGAGTCAACCAAAAAAGATAGACATTTGCTGTCGTGGGATATTTTTTATATAATTTTGAGGAGAACATTTCCGTCATACATGATTTCTGGGTAGCTTTAACCATTAAGGTTGCACACGCGACGGAGGCTTAAAAAATGGAGTAACTTCTCCCGTTTTCCCAACATTTCCCTTCACTGCTCTGCTCCTATTGATTATAGCGTGATGAAAAGAATACTATAACCAGCTCAGGAGTATGAAAAATAATTGTACTAAGTTTCGTTAAAATCCATTGAGTAGTTTTTGTTTCTATAACAGTTATACAGACAGACAGACAGACAAAAAATTTACTGATTGCATTTTTGGCATCAGTATCGATCCCTAATCACCCCCTGATAGTTATTTTGGAAATATATTTCATGCACAGAATTGACCTCTCTACAGATTTATTATAATTATAGATTACAAAAAACCCTTTCTTTCATATGAAACACAATGTACTGTGCTAAACTTTTTAGCAAACTAGATTTACATCCAAAACAGGACTTGTATGTTTAATTTTTATTTACTAACATTACATTACCTTTTATAAATTAAAAAGTGTGTCATTAGAAGTAACACTCTCTCATGTATAAGAGGATACGTTGACACAATATTTTTCTTCAGTTTATCAATTGGTCTCCTCTCTATCAGTTTCTCTAATCTGTGAATAATAAAATTAATATCACATCTTACTAACTTCCAATGTCACAGGAGAGCTACACATGGAAAAGTGTAAGATTTCAGATATCATTTTCTTCAAAAAGGAAAAAATGTATAAATGTTATGTTATTCGGTGACCTAAAAATTATAATTACGAGTACATAAAGTTCAAATTAATTGTAAATATCTTTAGATTTTTAATTCCATAACAACGGTGTGATAAAAATAATCCAATTAATTAAAACAGTTACTTGGAATAATAATTAATGTAGCAAACACTTCTGAATCTCATATTCTGTATAACTGTACAACACAATTTACATTACAATTTATGTCAGTAATATTATGGACTTTCTAATATGAGAACTTATATGAAAACTAATACAAATTCATTAATTGTGTCAAATAAAATTATAACTATAATATAATTTGTTTTTAAGTAACTTTACATACTGTCATCATCATCATCATCATCAGCCCTTTTAAGTCCCTACTTCAGGGGCTCAGGCCTTGCTCATGGATGGACAATGAGGCTCAGGACTTCCTTATGGATGGATAAGGAGGATGGGCCATGATCCTCCATGCTGGCTCAATGCAGATTGGAGGGTATTAACGACTGCAAATGCAGCTGGGCTTAACGTGCCTTCCGAAGCACGGAGTCACTCGAGATAATAATTTTTTGATCACCCATCCCATAACCAACCCCTGCGAAGATTGCTTAACGACAACAATCGCGGACCGCGGCGCTTATCCACTACGCCACCGAGCTACTTCATATTGTGCATATTATTTAATATAGCATATTCTACCCAAAAGAACTTCTGTATACCCCAACTGCTTTACCATAATATGCAATTTTCAAGACAACATCTTATAATTACCTGACACTTTCAATGGGGAAAGGTATAGGAAAAGCTTTGCTTTTCTTTATGATTTCCTTGACATCATCTGATATCTCAACCTGTGAAAGATTTGCACAGTGACATAGGAGTTCGTTAGTCTCCTTACTCATGCTTGGAAAGCACCAATCTGGCTTACACCTAGAAATAATTAATGTTACTTTAAAAATAATTAATATTCATATCAAAAATTAAAAAATTATAAGTGCCTTCATGCATTAAAGTAAATTATAACAGTACAGTTTTCCTGTTTTGTATAACAATTTCAGTGGATTAAATATTTATCAATTACTCACCACGAGATATTTTGAAACTGCCTGAGTATATCCATACTGTATGGTTTTCCCTAAAAATAATAAAAAATATATACTTATTTATCAATTATTGTTAAAAACTGTAGAAATCTGTGCCATCTATAAACTATTAATAAATTAAATGATGTTGGTAAACTTAATTTTTTAATAAAAATAAATCTAAACTTAAAAGGGTACATAAATACAAATTATTTGTCCCTACTTACCTCCACAATTGTAATAGGAAAGCAATAAATGATAAATGTAAAAAACAATGTTAACAAACTTCCATATATAGTAATTGTAAAAGCTACCGCTTTATTATCAAACAAATACAACATGTATACCTATTTCAAAACTGTATTTCTGTACCTACTACTAGGATTTATGTACCTACTACTAGGATTTATGTACCTACTACGCAGCGATTTTATTGCTTACCAATACTGGTTTCTTCAAGGTCAAGTTCACCGCCAATGATTTTAGCAAACTCATAAAATAAATAAACAAGTATGTTTATCTAAATTAAACATTTATAGAAAATGTGAAATATCTACAAAGTTCTATAATCACAAAAACTCCAATCTTCCTTTTTAATTCATGGTCTATTTGCGTTTACACTATTTCACCAATGTCACATTTGTGGCAATTACAAGTATTCTAAAATAATTTTAATGAGGTAAAGTGTAAAAAAAAAAGTCTCTTAGCACGTCTATCTGATTGTATTATTGTTCTGTGATCTGATCATAGAGAAATATAAGATCTGATTACATTGCTAAAGGTACCAACCCTTTATTCAATCTTCTCTATGGGTACCAAGGGAATATAAATAGAGAAAACAACGAAAGCAATCTATTATATGTTGGAACTATTTAGTTTACACACCAACCTTCTTTCATATATCTTTTGATAGGCCACTTTGTTTTTTCTCTTTATATTCTTTGTCATTGTCAGTTTGTTTTTTTTTGTTCTGTTTAAAATATTTATCAAGAAAATACATAAGTCTTTTTATCTTACATATTATTATTTTATTTGGAGTTGAGAGAATACCTATTTAAAGGCAATAAGTTCCTTTTGGTTATGGGCCCAGGAGCTCTGATACTCTAAATTTTTGCAATTCGAACATAAAAAAAATGGAAGGAGATTCTTGTACAAAACCTTTCTCTCATACAAACGCAAGTAATAGTAGTGTAGTATCCTATATTTCAACTGCACATACAGTAAGTACTCCATCTTTTAACAAATTAGAAGGGCGTTCAAACTATGCAACATGGGCATTCTCAATGGAGATGATGCTGATTGATTGTGTTGTTGCGTGAAGCATCCACCTTTTGACAATAGCTCACCAGAAATGCAACGCTCTGATGACAGAGCCCGATCTAAAATTGGCTTGTGCTGTCATGAAAGAGTCTTCTCTAAAATAATGGGATGTAAATCTGCATTTGAAGCGTGGAATAACTTAAAAAGGGCATACGCAGACAGCGGACTTATTAGAAAGCTCATGTTAATGAAAAAACTAATGAACTGTCGATATATTGATAATATGGAAACTTATGTTAATGAGATTATGTCGACACACCAACAATTAGAACAAATAAACCACAAAGTAGATGATTCGTTTGTTGCAATTATACTGCTTTGTAATCTACCCGATCAATTTAAGCCACTCGTCATGGCATTGGAACATTCTGGCACTGAACTAACATCAGACAATGTCATTGCTGCACTTATGAAAGAAGACAGCCGAGATCTAGCCACCTGCAGTAAAACACCTGAAGATAGTGCTTTAGTGTTGTCTTACAACAAATTTAATAGAGACACTAAGAACATATTTTGTAATTACTGCCGTAAACCAGGGCATATAAAACCAAATTGTAGAATTCTTAAAGCTAAATCCAAAGATGAAAAGGCCGAAATTTGCGAGGTAACACTTGTGGTTGATGATCAGTCCGTGACTAATTCTAATTTTGATAATTTGGAGATTAGTGAAACTTTTGTAAACTCTTTTATGTGTAAACCAATTTTTGATAAGTCGCTTCTTGCAAAGAGTGATAACTGGTTTATAGATTCCGGGGCTACAAGTCATATGACTAATAGACGTGATTGGCTACATGATACTAAACCTGTCACGAAAAGTATTAGAATAGCTAATGATCAAATAATTCTTTCAGATGCCATTGGTACTGTAAAACTAAACACTTCCAATATTACCGATGTTTTGCATGTTCCGAACCTCTCAACGAACCTGCTTTCAGTGAACTCATTGGTAAAGAAAGGGAATGTCGTACTTTTTTCGAAATCTGGAGGAAAAATTATTGATGGAGAAACGTGTAAGGTATTCGGAAAAGTTTTATGCACAGCCTCAAATATCAATGGTATGTACAAACTTGATTTACCTACTGCTCACGCGAATTTAACAGAAGTTAAAGAAAATTCAGCTGAATTATGGCACAAACGCCTTGGTCATCTGAACTTCAGATCTATGGAATTGCTTAGAAAAAACTTAGCTCTTGGTGTCAGGTATCCAAAGCCTGCTGGATCTATTAAAGATAATTGCATTGCTTGCGTGGAAGGTAAATTATCAAAGCAACCTTTCAAAACGTCAGATTCAAAATCGACAAATTTGTTGGAAATTATTCACAGTGACGTTTGCGGATTTATGAGTACCCAATCTTTGGGAGGTGCTTCATATTTCGTGACTTTCACTGACGATTTTTCTAGAAAAACATTTACCTACCTAATTAAACAAAAATCAGAAGTTGTGGAAAAATTTCGCGAATTCAAAAGCTTAGCCGAGAACCAAACTGACAAAAAGATTAAAATTCTACGTTCTGACAACGGTGGTGAATATTTGAATTCGGAAATGAAAGAAATTTTGAAACAGTCCGGTATAGTTCACCAAACGACTGTGCCTCACAATCCAGAGCAAAACGGCCTGGCTGAAAGAGTCAACAGAACCTTAGTAGAGAAAGCCAGATCTATGCTCTCAGAATCTGCTCTACCTCAAAGTTATTGGGGAGAAGCAATCAATACAGCGACTTACTTGAAAAATCGCTCACCGACTAAGGCTATTAGAGGGAAAACCCCTGAAGAAATCTGGACAGGAAGAAAAGTGGATCTTTCACATCTTCGTATATTTGGATGCAGAGTTTATGCGCACATACCTAAAATTCTTCGAAAGAAATTTGATGCTAAGGCCAAACTATGCATATTTGTAGGTTATTGCACCGAAACTAAGGGATACAGAGTAGTTGATCCTGAACATCCAAAAATTCTTATTAAGACAAGAGATGTAAAATTTTTTGAAAATGATTTTTTATTCAAATCGCAGTCAAGTGATCAAAATAATATGGTTGATAAAGTTGGAACTCAAGTATCAGAATCCGTCCCTATTATAGTTACAGAAAATTCTGAAAATATACCAAACGAAGGAGAAGTCAACAACATTATTACTGAACCTTTTATAGTTACAGAAAATTCTGAAAATATACTAACTGAAGGAGAAATCAGCAATATCGAAACTGAACCTTTAACACACACACAGGTAACTGGAAATGACGACACTGAAGAAGAATTTTATGACAGTGTTACTGAAATTTCGGATAGTACAAACAATCAAGTTTCTCAACCTGTTAGGAGATATCCATTGAGAAACAGAATCCCGAAAAAGTGGTCAGAAGATATAGTTCTCTACAAAGCTGAAGAAGATGATATCCCTTCAACCTTTAAGGAAGCCATTAGTTCTGATGATAAAAATAAATGGCAAGAGGCTCTTCAAAGTGAATATGACTCACTTGTAACTAACAAAACTTGGGTCCTTGTGGATAGACCTAAAAATAGAAAAATAGTCCGTTGTAAATGGGTATTCAAAATAAAGAAAAATGAAAACGGAGAAAACACACGCTATAAGGCACGATTAGTAGCCAAAGGCTTTACACAAACTTACGGCGTAGATTATGACGAAACATTCGCACCCGTTTCACGCCTTTCAACAGTTAGATTACTGCTTGCTTTCGCAGCACAATGGAATATAACAATGGATCAAATGGATGTTGAAACTGCTTTTCTTAACGGTGATCTAAATGAAGAAATATATATGGAACAACCTGAGGGTTTCACTAAAGAATGCAACAAGGGGAAGGTATGCCAGTTAAAGAAAGCACTTTATGGTTTAAAACAAGCGCCTAGACAGTGGAACCTTAAACTTAACGAAGCAATGATGCAACTTGGAATGAAAAGGTCTGAACATGATCATTGCCTATATTATAAAGTTAATGAAACTTGCATGTTAATTGTTGCAATCTTTGTTGATGATTTTTGCATTCTCAGTAATAATGCTGATATGAAAGAAAATTTTAAAAGGGATATTAAACAATTTTTTAAGGTCAAGGATTTAGGAAACTTAAAACATTTCTTAGGAATGAGAATCGCAAAAGAGGAAAATGGTATAGCCATTGATCAAGAAGAATATATTAAAAAGGTACTAGATAATTTTGCTATGACTGATGCAAAACCGGCTAGTACACCTGCTGATCCTAATTTAAAGTTAGTGAATCCTTCAAATGAAGATAAAGAAGCAGCTCAACATTTGCCTTATCAAAGACTGGTTGGTTCTCTTATGTATCTATCTGTAGGAACTAGGCCAGACATTACACATGCAGTAAGTGTGTTAAGCCAGTTTAATTCTAATTATGGGACAATTCACTGGAATGCAGCAAAAAGAGTTCTACGATATTTAAAAGGGACAATGCATCTTAAACTCCGATTCCAGAAGAAAAATATACTCACTCTTACGGGCTATACTGATGCTGATTATGGTGCATGTTTAAAAGACCGGAAATCCTACACTGGATATGTATTTTATTTAAATGGACCTATATCATGGGAATCACGTAAACAACGAACGGTCGCCTTGTCAACAACCGAAGCCGAATATATGGCACTTAGTGATGCTGCAAAAGAATCCATATATCTCAAAAACATATTGAAGGAAGTGTTTGGTTTAGATAATGGTGTCTGTATTTATAGTGATAATCAGGGAGCTCAACTGCTAACAAAAAATAACGTTCATCACTCACGAACAAAGCACATTGATGTTAGACATCATTTTATTAGGGATACTGTTGCTAGTGGTATTATTGGTATACAATATATTCCGACAAATGAAATGAAGGCAGATGTCTTAACCAAGTTTCTATCGAAGCAAAGACATCAGTGTTTAACGAAAGGATTAGGTTTAATTTAACATTTATAATGGCCTATTAATTTATTCAGAAGTAGGGGAAGTGTTGGAACTATTTAGTTTACACACCAACCTTCTTTCATATATCTTTTGATAGGCCACTTTGTTTTTTCTCTTTATATTCTTTGTCATTGTCAGTTTGTTTTTTTTTGTTCTGTTTAAAATATTTATCAAGAAAATACATAAGTCTTTTTATCTTACATATTATTATTTTATTTGGAGTTGAGAGAATACCTATTTAAAGGCAATAAGTTCCTTTTTTATAGCACTTATCTATCGAGTTGGCAGCACTGATTCTACCTACTTATTACCAAAGAGAATTGAACTAAATCCAGTATTCCTGCGTAGTGGTTACTTTTGTAACCTTTTAGGTGATTTTTAACTCCTTGAAGTTACTTCGAGGTCTGCTCGTGAAAGGGGGCGCTGTTGTCAAAGTTTACGTCAACGTCTAAAGTTAATTACGCAATTCACTACCATATTACCTAATGTTAAGATCAAGATGTTTAATTCAAATTTTGGCCGCGATCTTATAGCATCATTGATTCATTCCACCAGTCAGTTTATTATCTTTTTAATTGGTGCATTTGCATTATAATTTGGTATGCTATGAATACGATTAATTTTATTTTATTGTGTTTCATTATTATTTTGTATATAAGTAGTTGAAAACTTGTTAAGTGTATTAAATAATGGTAAAGCTAACGAATAACTACGCCAGTAAGTAATATGTTTGCGTCACTTCCCTTCGCCTGCCTTGATAGCATGTGCTGTACTTGAAGAAAGAAAGTATTACCTGATTACCTACTAATTAAATGATTTTTACTTAATACATAATAGTGTACTGCATATATTCATAGATTCAGCTGCATATTTCCATCTTAGAAAGGTCTTCATGATTTATAATTTTTGTTTATTTGTGAATGTATTAGAATCAATTACATTACAGGTGTTCTATCTTTCTTCAATTATCTTCAATTACAGGTGTTCAGAAGAAGTAGATTTTTATACCTAATGACAATGAGATTCAACTTTAATAATGAGAAGAAGCTTTTAAATGCTTACCCAAAAATCTGTAAGTATTTTTTATACTTTTAGACATCTAAAATGTAAAAGGTTACTTTTACTGTAAAAAGGTTTCTTTTTTGCACATTACAGGTAACTTTTGACAAAACCTCGCTGGCAACACTGCTTCTGTCATGATTGTCATGTTGACAAACGAAATTATTTTGGCGGTTTATTTATTAATAAATTCCTAGAACTAAAAAGTCTAAAACTATATGATGATATTTGTATTTTACTATCTATAAAATCATAGTGCTATGAGTGACTTACAATCAATTCGATCCGAGATCAACAATGCATTCAAACTTAGTGGTTTTACCATTCGTCGTGAAGCAAGCAATTTTGTTGCAGAACAGGTGTCCTCGTTAACTCCATTTGATAGGCAGAAAATTATAGATAAACTTACAGCACATATATTACGCCAATGTTTATCTCAACCGGTTCTAGAAAAGGAACACTTGGAAATTGCCTACAGAGAATGTTCATCGCTTGGCCTAGAAGAGTCTGAAACAGTATTGAATGTTATCGATGCGTTCAGCATACCGAAAATAAACTACGATAGTGAAAGAAAGCGGTACATGAAATATATTAATAGCAACAATTTGTATCCGGAGCCTAAATGGAAAGCTCAGTATTTGATTGACAGGTACACACTTATATGGCAAAGAACTGCTAGAAATAAGTTATTTGCACAAGAAATACTGCCATCAAGTGCTGAAGAGAAGAAATTTTTACTTCGTAAAATAGAAGTTTTATTGAGTTCTTCAAGTAAAATTGAAGAGGTTATAGTGTTAGGGCTCCTTACTCAACTGACAGAAGGAAAATTTTATTTAGAAGATCCTACGGGTAGTGTTCAATTGGATTTATCACAAACAAAGTACCATTCTGGTTTATTTACTGAAAATAGTTTTGTATTAGCTGAAGGTTATTATGATGATAAAGTTTTTCATGTAATGGGTGTAGTGTTGCCACCACCAGAGAATAGAGTAACCTCATCATTATATTTTGGAAATTTGAATACTTTTGGCGGCAAATCAAAGACATTATTAAAAAATTCAAATAACTTACTTAAAATTGAAAAAGAAAATGCAGATGATATGATTATCTTTCTGTCTGATGTGTGGTTTGATAATTTAAAAGTAATGGCAAAATTAAAGACATTATTTTCTGGATATAAAGACTTTCCACCTGTCGCGTTTGTATTTCTTGGTGAGTTTCTGTCTTGCCCCTATGGCTATGAGCATAGTACACAACTAAAAGCAGCTTTTGCTGATTTAGCAGATCTGATTAATCAATTCACAAAACTTAAGGAATCATGCAAGTTCATATTTATACCAGGAAGAGGTGATCCAGTTGCTGCAAACATATTACCAAGACCTGCAATACTGGACTCTATCACGAAAGATATAAGGAACAAATTAGGTGATGCTGTTATATTTACTACGAATCCATGCCGTATACAGTATTGTACACAAGAATTTGTCTTGATCAGACAAGACTTAATGATGAAAATGTGTAGAAATTCAATTCATTTCCCAGACTCTGGTGACATACCAGATCATTTGACTAAGACATTACTCAGTCAGTGTACACTATCACCTTTATCTTTAGGAGTACAACCTGTGTATTGGAAGCATGCTGATGCTTTGAGTTTGTATCCAATGCCAGATCTAGTGGTTGTAGCCGACCATTTCCAGCCATACACAAGATCATATCAAAATTGTCAAGTAATTAACCCTGGATCATTTCCACGTACAGAGTTTAAGTTTAAAGTTTACATACCATCATCAAAAACTGTTGAGGATTCCCAAATTCCTAAAGATGATAATTGATATGATTTGTCAATAAAACTATCTATAAAATGATGTAGTTATTTTATTATCTTTTTAATATATTTACAGTGACATTATTAAAATAAATAGCTTTTACCTTACAGCTAAATGAGTGACTAATTTTATTTTACTTATTCACTATATAACTGTAAATTTAATGTTGTAATTTAATGTTAGTCAAAATTTATAAAAAAAAATGTCAAAACACTAAGTAAAACAAGTAGGTATTCAATACTTGACATGTCTAAATATATAATATCTAAAGTGATGTTTTTGTTAATATAGTCACATATATTTCATTTGCATTTATCATTACACTATATAAACAATTTTCACACAGATTAAGGACTAAATTAGATATTTAAAATGTGAATTGGTCAAAAAACTTATTTTTAAATCTTACATTTTATTTAATAATTGTAAAATCGTGTTTTCTTAGTGTTAACTTAAATAAGTTATTTACAATGTGTCAAATAGAATCTTGTGTAATCAAGCGCCCATGATGTTGTTGTACGTAGAATTGATAGGCGCTAATGCAACCAAACAGATCATTGCTACAGCTAGTATAAGGATGATGGGGGCGTAGATGCCAAGGAGAAGTCTTCTAAAACTGGAGAACTGCAAACAAAACATTCTATATTAGGAAACATACGATTTCATGTAGATTTTATTATACTTTATTATATTCTGCGGCGGCACAAGACCTAGTTTTAATATGAGCCTTGTTCGCACGACCGCGGTCGTCAGGCCGTCAGACTATACGTTGTGGACTGTGCCGACCGCGCTTCATATAGAATTTCCCTACTAACAGAGGTCTGCTTATGGTGGTGGTGTGAAGCGTGACGCGCGGCCGTGTGTACATTTTGCGAGGCCGTTCTCTTTATTGAAAATGTTAATAAAAATTCAACAAGGAAATTATAATATTTTTGTTTAAATATTCACTCTTGTTTCAGTAGTGAAAAAAAATTGCAGTATAGTTTGATTTTGTTTTAATTTTCCAAACTTGGGTTTGAGGCGTGAGGCTATGAGCGATGGCTAAATACTAGTTTTGTTCCTTACCGGCGCGTCTGTACTTCTATCGACTTGCGAAGTTTGCCTCGTCTGGCCCAACATATCTTTCATCGGGAAAGCATTCACTCGTCCGTTACTTATCCTGCCGTCTGATACACATACTGTCAGCTGTAAACATGAAACAAATGTTACGCTTAAGGACAAAGATCATGATAGACAGATGAGTAACAGACTTAGTTTATGCTTAGTATTTAAACAAGAGCTCATAAGTAGCTGATCGCGTGTATTTTACCCTTTATAACATCCAAAAAATCCCTGTATCTACTAAACGTGCGAATGAGACGCGAGTTCTGAGTCGTTCCGTATGCGGGAGCGGGTAGCGGGTAGGTAAGTGGAAAAAATGACGAATTTTTAAATCATTTTAACAAGTCTGCCACTTTGAAAGTCTTAATACATAAGTATCTTCAATTAATATCTATTCAGTGACCGTCGCGAGGTCAGGGCAGATAGGATGGGACTTGATTTACGTTTATGAATGAACCAGTGCGTCGCAGAGTTAAGTTAGGCTCTGTAGGATATTTAGTACCTAAGTATAGAGAATTCTTGGGACGGAATTAAGGCTTTGCTATCCATGAGCACTTAAATCTATTAAACTCACCGATAGTATTATGTGTACGATCACGTGGAAAATAACAAATGCAGCCAAAATGTAGACGCTCCACCGTGGCAGCTCCGCTTTTTGTAGATATACCGCCAAGAATATTGTCGCAACTGAAATGTAATAAAACAACGAAATATTAGATCAAACAAGGGAAATTCATATTATAATAAGTATTTTTTCGCTGCGATATCGTCTGTTCAATTTCTGTGATATATTAGTATGTATGTATGCAACTTACTTCCAAGGATATGCGCAGCGTTACCAACGAGCCAATGGAGCCAGTTGAAGATAGGCCGCTTCTTGGTACCCGGATGCGGTCTAAAGTAAGCACCTGAAAATATTAAATAGTGTTTATTTATTAATATTTCTTGCACAAGTGCACAATTTATTTTTATTTTTTATGGGATAGGGGGCAGACGAGCAGACGGATCACCTAATGGTAAGTGATTACCACCTGAGGGGCTACAAGCGCGCTGTCGGCCTTTGAGGGACGAATCTGAACATAGGGAGGGAAGGGTTGAGGGGTAGAGGGAAGGGAATAGGGAGGGGTTGGGCCTCCGGTACCCTCACTCACACGACGAAATACAACGCAAGCGTTGCTTCACGTCGGTTTTCTGTGAGGCCGTGGTATCATTCCGGTCGAGCCGGCCCATTCATGCCGAAGCGTGGCTCTCCCACGCTTCGGCATGAATATATAAAAAAATATGGGCCAAGCGCGCGTACAAATACTAGATTTTGAAAACCGTAAACTTTTTATACATTTTCGTGATGATGATCTTAACATATTTTATAAAAAATTTAGGCTATCGTCAATTATCATATATTTTTTATCAAATAAATATTATTTAAAAAATATTTAAAAAATTGGAATCTGACAATTTGTTTTGTGATTCGATAAGCAAATAATACTAAGCACGCAAAGCCATTTTTCAAATGAATGTTTGTGGTTGACTTTGGGTCACTGATTTGCATGTATATCTATGTAGGTATATACTAAATATCAAATTCAATTGATTTAGTAGTTTCAAAGAAAATCCTTATTATTATATTCTCCTTAACCACCCATAAAGTAGGCCTGAGTCCCTGTAATGGGGACGTAAAAAGACTGGTGATTAACCCTAAATGTAATTATTTATTTGCTTTAGGCGGCCAATGGTTTATACAAAGAACTTACTAACTTTAGTCCTCGTTTAGAGATTACTCACCGATAGGCTGTATAAAGCAAAGAACTACAGTAACTATTCCTGTAATGGCGTGAGGGTTGTCTCCGGTGGTAGACCAGCCGCCCACTTCCACGAGGATGATGATGAAGCCGCACACCGTCAGCAGCCAAGTCATCACCATCAGGATTCTGTGGTACTAAAAGAACAAGGGAATTATACTTAACTTATCAAAAATTCATCATCCGTCAGGTGGCTGAAATGGGACTCGAATCTACAACCTTTCGCAATCTGGTAGAAGCTATTCGAGACGCAACAAGCCTGACGAATTTCTCATGCAGTTATTACTTTCGCTACTATATAATGAGCGTATTTTCGTCAATGTTCAGTCAATGTCAGTTAACCGAAAGAAATATTTTTGAAAGTATTTTACTTTCTTTTAAGATTATTTTTATTTCTCATCAAATTTTGCATTCACTTTAAAGGCAATGCTTAAAACATTCACCAGTCCCAGGTACCAGGTAGGTATTGCATATTAGCGCATCACCCCCTTCTGTGTACAGGCGGACAGGGCTGACACCCCACCTACCCCCCTATGATATTAGTCCCAGGGACGATCTACCGTCTTGGCAGAGGCAGTCAGGTACTCTAGTCTTTTCCTAGCCCGCATAGGGGGTCCCGAAGTTGGGCTGGATCCGGCAGGCTCCATGCTGCTTCCCAGTTCCTTCCCCAGAAGGGTACTCGCAGGGGGTTTCACAAAGTGAGCCACTCTCGCATTAAGCCTGTCTTTTCAGGCCGGGTGCGGGGTCAGAGCGCCTTGGTTGAAGGCTTAAGGTAATTTCCCCTGCGTTATTAATAAATGGTACTCTGAGATGGGAGTTCTTAAAGATCAATAAGTATATCATTCTGAAATGTAAAATTAATAAAAATGGATTTTTTTGAAAACGTAATCTTTAATGAGTCTTCATGTAGTGTCCTGTATTGCTTAGAAAAATCTGTAGCTGATAGGCGCTTGATTTCGAGTTTTGAAAATAACTTTAGAGGTTTGCTTGGCATCAGTACTATTCTGTAATAAAATAAGCGTTTAACTCGTCGTGGAGCACAGCGCTGTCACAGCATAGAGGTTCCGTCAAGTATACGTACTTCAAAAGAAAAAGGTTATATTTCATTGAACCTTTATGCTGTCACGAGTTAGAGGCAGATTTTATAACAGAAACTCATAGTTGAGCTTTCTAAAAATTATTTAAAAATGGTGTATTCAGAGATGCATTGTTTCGAGATCGCTTGCATTTTTTATTCCGTTTTTTAGGAAATAGTAAGGAACAGATACTTACTGCAAACCAAATATCCTTGCCACCCATTTGTCTGCCAACCCAAACTTGTCGGAAGTATCTGTGAAGAAAAATAAAATTCATGTTCTCATAAGCGGTAACACTTCAGACAGCTGAACCGATTTAGCTGCGTTTTATTTAAATATTACATTTGTAACAGTTCACATTACTTGACAAAAAAGTTCCTACGTCCTACTAGGACAGAAAATTCTTTAGGATTGATTTTGAAATGAGATTTAAGTATGTTTTAAGTATGTATTTAGTAAAATAATTCAAACGATTAAAGCCTGAAGATTTAGGCAGCAAATAGATCATAGGGTCACTAATAAATGGAAAAAAGTTAAAAATATTGACTATAACAGAAATTAAAACAAAACAAGTATGAGAGGCAAGTACGATCATATCCTATTACAAAACTATAATGTCAATAATCAAACGATGCCGATATTCGTTATATTATCCTAATATACCTAATTGAGCCCAGCCTCGCTTATGTTAGGTATATCTTATACTGTAACTTTAACAAAGTCACGTACCTTGCTAAAAGTATCCCTATAGAAGCAGAGCCCACCCAAGCGGCTATCATGAAGCTTCCGTGCAATTTGAGCAGCAGCTTCGATGCCCCGGTAGTGGGGCCCACTGACGCTAGAGCTAGCGGTTCACCTGTGGACTCGTACGCCAGGTTGTGGAAACCAACGCGTTCCGCATCTAAAACAACCAAAAATGTGAATGTCCACGAAGACTAAACAAACTTTAGTAAATGACAAATTTGTTCAGTGTAAAATAAATTAATTTACAATCTTTTGTAATCCACGCGGACGAAGTCGCAGGGAAGCAATTAGTGGGAAATAAAATAATAAAGCTATTCGTAGGTACCCGTGAAAATCCAGTAAGTGGTGGTGGTAAGTAATATCGAAGCAAAAAGGTACGATAGAAAAGTTATTATAGTTCATTATGTTTCTGCTTTTTACACATTAATAACTCTTACCTTTCATACTATCGCCAGAAACGACCATCAAATTGTACTTATTGTTCGCCAAATCGAACGTCTGCCCTTTGACAGTGGATACTACGTTTCTTGTGAATTTGCAATAAAGTTTCCCGTTGATTAGCGTGAAATCTTTCAACTGAACTATATCTTGCGGTGAATCAGATCTGCTGACGTATGGTTCAGCTTTAGGGTATGTCCAAGAAGTGAAAATACTGACTCTGCCATTGTCATTCCTGACGCACTCCATGGCGCTATCGTCACCCATTTTATTGTCCATACTAAGAGCTGTTGCAACGTATTTTGGATTGTCCGTTCCTTGAATTTCGAATGTGTATTTGTCACCCTCGACTAATACAGCTACGATCGCTTTGCAGTTGCCTTGTCGGATGCAATTTTGTGGAACACCGAAACATAGTTTGGTGTCGTCACATCCTTGGTATATCAGATCACGAGTTTCTGTCGACGGGCTTGGCTATTGAGGGGAAAAATAAACAACAAGTTAAGATAATTCCGAAGGTAAAGGCACATAATCAATATTCTGATTGTCGCCAAGTTAAATTCGGTAAATCGTTTCCTTACGCGAACAAATAGGTACACTACATACAAATAATAAGGAAAATACGTCTTGAGATTTCTCATCACGACTAGCGAGTCAGTTAGTGGGTTTTAATTTTAAAGTAGACTCTTATTTTTGTAGGTTTTCCTTTTTTAACCGACTACGGGGAGGCGAAAAGGGGTTTATGATGGTATCATTAGAAGCAAGAAACTATAAACAAAAATTATTCAATCATTCCATATAGGGTATCAAAAAGAGCTTAATTTTGCTTGCATTTTGCTTAAATACGCCTGAAAATTAATTAAATAAAAATTAACCAGTTCAAAAACTAAAACTCGACTAGAGCTTAAATCACGCTCTAAAAAGTTTGAAACAAGAAATTTATTTATAGCGATACCTGTATTACAATAGCGATGACCAAAGGACAGCATAGTCGTATGTTTTAGTTTTCGGATTCGTTATTTTTTATTCTAAAAATAATTATCATGGCATTTTTAAATGATGATCTAACTGTTTTTTCATAAATTAAACGAAATTGCTAATTTGAATAGCACCCTTGATGTTACGCTATGAAGGTATTTTCACCTGATTCTCCAAGATAACTGGTGGTGCTTGAGTGGTTGTAGGGGCTGCTGGTGTTGGTACGTTGGTAGTAATGACAGTGTCCGGTCTCACAACCTCCACTAATGGGGATTCCACGTTTCTCCAGAAAGTGGCATAGCTCTGCGCTACCGTTGCTCTGAAATATGAAATTAAAGTGTTTTAAAGCATTTTTTTAGCATAGAGAAATATATCTATGCTAAAAAATCAAAAGTTGAATAACACAAAATATATAAAAGGAGGAGACAGATCAAGCGCACACAGGGATATGAGTAATTTCCGTGTGGCAGATCTTAACAAGGCCTTTGTGTCTTGTACCTATATTATATACTAGTGGACGCCCGCGACTTCGTCCGCGTGGAAGTCGGTATCCCGTGGGAGTGAGAAGTTTTCCCAGTAAAAAGTACCCTATGTGTTATTCTGATGTATAACCTATATTGCTGTAAAGTTTTATCCAAATCCGTCCAGTAGTTTTTTCGTGAAAGAGTAACAAACATCCATACATCCATACTTACAAACTTTCGCCTTTATAATATTAATAGGATTATTAGACTATATTAGACTACATCACATACATTGCTCATATCACAAGATAAGTAGCTGAAGTCCTCGTATTATGGAGTATCTCAGACAACGAAGGTACCACAACACCCAGACCCGAGACAACATAGAAAAACTCACTTTCTACATGACATTTTATAGTAATCTTATTTATATTTGTGATACCCAAGAGTGACGCTTTAGGCGACCGCACTTTGGCAGATATTGTACAATCATGTTATCCTGAACTACATATATAAGTATACGCAAATCCAGATCCGGCGCGACTGACCTATGGAATGGAGTTCTAATTATCAACCTTGACGGTCGAAACTGATATATTGGTTTTCGTCAGATCGCCGATTGTCATTTGTCGCATTAATCAACTCTGTTTTACTCGTATCTTTTTAATTTTACAGCTTAACTTTGGCAAGATAAATATATATATATATATATAATATAATATATATAAATATTTTCTATTATTCAAAGGAGTTATTACTTGAATTCAACTCCACCCAAGAAGTCTGTTGGTGCCTTCCACTGGAATGTGAGCGCCGGTTTCTCCTGGGGGTTGGAGTGCGTCGCCGTGTCGTTTTCATTGCTGCAGGTTATCAGGTGAGTGATCGCGTTGTCCGGTACAGATACGAAGCGACCAATTATTGTGTCAGTATTCTGAGTAAATAATTAATAAATGTAATGGAAAGAATATTAATCATCGGTCATAATAACCTAGCTGTATTGCTGTCGATCTAAAGTTATTAAAACCAGAATCAATAAAGCCCCAATTCTAATTGGACAACCTAGTAGGTATATTTTTAATAATACTATAAATATAAAGGTGAAAGATTTGTTTATGGTTTTTGTAACTCAAATGCTCTTAGATCTACTTTAAATACGAGTATTAATTAAATATTTTATAACATTATCAGCGGATAACATAGACTGTATTTTATTTTGAAAAATAAAAATCCGATACGAAATTCACGGGATCAGTTAGTAATAAACGAAGGCAACTAACAAGAATAACTCGATATTAACTTTTTTCTTTATATTAAATGTTCAAAAAAAAAACAAATGTAAAATGTACGTAACATATGTGAGCGTGTTACGATAATTATAATAAATAAGTAATATTAGATGCTTTCCCGCGACTTCGCCCGCGTAAATTATTGTCTATGTAACCCGCGCATTAAGATATAATTTCCCTAAGGTGATTCTTTGTAATATATAATTATAGATGTACTTGTAATACTAACTAATGCTTTGATGGTAACACGTTTTTTAGAAACTTTAAAAGTCCTGCATTATGTCTGTACAGTACACAGCACGTCAGGCTATAAGACCTACAATTTTAAGCCTTAATCTATTGACAGTTAAATTTAAAACTTATTGCAGAGGTTTGGTCTTTTGTACATAACCCGTATATGGTTAAATCCTTACAAGAAAAGAGTTGAGTTATGGAGTTCTTTGCGGTAAAAGTTTGAGTTAGAGTTCGCGTTCACTGAGTTCAGATTGAGTTATTTTTTTTAATAAGATATTATAGAGTACAACCAATTATTATCGAATTATCACAATTATTGAGTTGGCTTAATAAGTACGTGTTTCGTTGCGTTACAGATTTGGTTGAGTTTAGACTTTATACTGAGACGAGACACTACTTATCTCGTTGCGTGTTAGGTGACAACTGTTAGATTATTTGTGTACCTGATTTTACGAAACTTATTTAAGTATCTGACAAAGCGTTAGTAATTTGCGTTAATTTTAAGCTGCTCATCCAATATTCGGTTACGAACTGTGTTCATTAGCAAGAAAAACACCTTGCGCGTACATTTACGTTATCACGAGTGTACTCAATCGTGTCCGTTTCTTCGATACGCCTAATGAATGGTAATGCCAATTTCATGGTAGATTTCTTAAATACATAGTCAAATCAAAAAGCAATGTGTGAGGAACGTTAAAGAAATAATTCGTTTTAGAAATTAACACTACGTGAATGTAAAAAGAAAACAAGGCGAAGCCAACTGGTTTATAAAATAGTGTCAATAGTAATTTTTTAAATGGTGTAAATTTTGTGAGAAATGGTTTTGAAACCATCTATGTTAATATTATAAAGAGGACAGGTTTGGTAATAGTTTTATTTCCATTGATTAGGCATCAAACGTATTATATCGGTTTAAAAAATCAACCTACGAGAAGCTACATCAGACGCGGATGACGTAGGCAAAGTTACGGGAAAACACACACATTAAGATTATTATAAAAATTTGAGACAAATCTACTACGGCAATATAGTGACTCAAATTATAATATAAAAATGATTTTAATTTTTCTCTATAGACAATTTAATAAATTCACAATGTAGCCCATTTACAGCTACATAATTAAGACTAAATTTCATATTAACAATCGAATTAGTTTAGACGTCCTCTGAAATAATGACACTATTACATACTCTGTAATTCGTTTATTTACCTGTATTGACCGCGCTTGCAGTATAAACCCTCCAATAGGCAAGGGGGCTCCTGCTGGACTACCGATGGTCACATTGAGTGTGTCTCCCTGTCTGACTTGTGATGTCGATGGCACTATGATATAAGGCGGCACTGAGCTCTGCGGTAGGATAGTGGAATGTCTGGGCATTTGATCGAAGCATGCCTGTGAATAGAATATGATAGACATTAAAACAACAATCATTGTCTTCCCTAGGAAATTTGAATAAAGAAATCTTCATGTAATGTAATTTACTTCTTTTTGCCTACAGTAACTTTTAATTAAACGGTCTAAGCGTGTATTTTTATGTCATTCTTTTTTCATATTGATCCAAAAGCAATCGAAGAAATGCATCGTGAAAATTGTAAGAACTTTTAGTGAATTTTACGTTGGTGCTAGGTTTTCAATCATTTCCTAAAAATACATGAGCAAGCGAATCATTTCTTTGATGGTGTGTATTGAATCTTAATAATCGGCACTAAACCTTAATACCAGTGGCAAAGGCTCTATAATTCAGTGTAAAGTAATACACGTTGATCTTAAATAGTTCATTTATTAATTATTTTATACTACGTCTTTTGTGTTTGGTGGAGTTTTGTCTTTTGGAGAATATATATGAAAAGCAAGAAATGACGTTGCCATTTTTGGAGTGTTCTTTTCTTAAATGGCTTATATCTTCATAACTTAAAAAAAAGTTTTTTCCAAATTCAATATGCAGTTATATTTATTCAGGCTATTGCTAGCATTTGTGAAGAACCGGCAAGAAATCTTTATCCATGTGCGAAAGTAGTCTACAGAAATTGTAGGCCACTGGCTGGAAAGCGCAATCCTTTTTGATAAGTTTATGTTATATTTTTGTTTTGTTTTTTTTTTTTTTTGCAGATACTCCTTATTTTGGTCTTATTGAATGTAATAGGGATGACGACTAATTTTTGTTTTTCTATTTGTAGATTATTGAAGAATATTAAATACGTATTTTTTTATTTTTCGCGTATTCAATAAATTACGGCGATATATTGAGTTGAAATGTCGCATGACGTCACGCTATGGTACATTTTCTACAAAACTGTGACGTAGCGAGCCCCCACTCCTCAACTTTAATACCTAATAACTAAGCCATTTCTTGTTGAAATTGAAGAAAAAAAAATACGTATCTTATATTTTTCTATTATCTGACTGACGGACTAAATAGAATCCCTTTTTTTTTACCCAGTCGTCATCCCTATTATCCTTTCTTTGCTTGCTGTGATTTGTGATTTATTATTGATTATTATATATTACCATATAAGTATACGTTAGTTCTTATTTACAGTCCTCATCCCTATTACCTATCAGAGACGATCGCATCATTAACATAAGGTAGAATAGTGCTGCGATATTATGCGGGATAGATCGATAACATTTGAAATATGTACACCAATTGTAATGCATCATTGTCGTGTGTACCTGTAGGTGTTGGTAACTCACCGAGGCAGACGTTACGGTCGAGTTGCCTCAGGTTCGATTGGGGCCAACGTAATAAAATTAACCTCTTTCTTAATTTTATAAAAAAAAACTGCTCGCTTAGCTGTTATAATATTAGCTTTGATAACGAAATATTGGCAATCTTACCCCGGATGGTGCTCCGGAACCATGCTGTTCTGAAGATTTGATAATTACTAGAATAGTAAGAAGTAGCACTCCTCTTTTTCTTAGCAGCATGGTGATGTTTTCTGAAAACAAAAGATCTATATAAATAGCTATTAAACTCAACAGCATCAACTGTTACAAAATAAAAAAATCAATTAAACCTATTTAAAGTCTCAAAGAAAAGATTTCTAAAAGTCTATACCTATTTGTTTAACTAATTACGACTATTTCGGAGTTTTAAAGATATTTGACAACCAAATTCAGCTAAATTATTCTACCTGTTCTAGAGGTTAAAATACCACGTTTTAATCGCCTTTTTGTTACAAATAAATAAATAATTTGCAGCAATCAATAAAAATAAGTTAGATTTTGCAGCAAATTTGCCCCTTTGGAAAGTTCTTAGTAAGACACACTAAGACCAATGTCATTTCATATTTGTATTATATCGTACTCAGGAAATAACTCATTTGTCACTGTTCTGACTATATTGACAGAAAGTGACGTATGGTTGCTCATACATTTCATACTAAAACAACATGGAAATTATAGATGAAGAGGGACAGGGAAATTAGGCCATTATAACAATCGAAGTTCTATTTTGATCGAACAAGACTTATTTCTTTGAATAATTTAACGCTTAACAGCTTTGTTTTTTAATTCTAGTTTCCTTTTATAAATAGTAATGAATTTGATACTTAGTAATCGGGTACCGTTACATGGAGTCATGAAACTGGTTGCTAAACGTTACAGTAGCGGCAAGTTTTTTGTAGGTATTGCAATATTTGTGTAATGAATTTATACTAATGTTTTATAAATGTGTCTTTTATTTTTGTACCCTTTTCCCTGGAAAATTGTTTAATAATTTTTTGTGAATCTTGGCCCACAGCTAGAGAAATCTCTAACCCCGCAAGCTATCCCCGTACCTGTTTTTTTTTTTCGAAATATTGCCATTATTATTCAATGATAATGAATACTTAAAACCAGCCCAGTGCCTAGATTTGAGATCTTTATAATTGACTACTTATTTTCCCGTACCTTCGCTCGCGTAAATTATAGTTTATGATATCAGCGTATAACATAGCTTCCCATATGTGAAAGAATTTTTAAAATCGTTCTAGTAGTTTCGGTGCAAACAAACTTTGTTCTTTATGAAATCTTTGTTCTTTATAATAGTAGTATAGATATATTTTTGGCATTTGTATTATTATGAAAATATGAAACAACGAAGATACAACAACATTTAGACAAGAGAATTTTTATATTAAAAAAAGTTCTTTATCTAAAGTGAACATTTGAAATCGGCGCGCGACGTTCGATCTTCATATAGAAAAAAAAATATTTCTGTGTTCGAGTTCCTCTAACAAGCCCCATCAAATATTAGTAAAGATTTATGCTTCTTATTATGTTATAGTTATTACTGATTCTAATAATGTAATGTTTACATGTACTGATGGGTATTTTGTTAAATTTTCACACTAGCTTGGTTATAAGTCGTAGGCATTAATTAATTTCCATACATATGTATTATGCTGGTAATTCATTTGTCATTTAGCGCAAATACTCGTAGTTACTTTGCCAAATTATTAAACTGACATTCCTGGAATTAATACAATAATTAGGCTGATAATAACAATATTCATAATATAAATTCAGACTGTTATCAAATTAAACAAACATGCGCAATACTAAAAATTGTAATCTCAAAAAATAATTTTGTAAAAAATTATGACTGGCTTAGCCAGGAAGAGGTGACAATAAAATACTGTACCTTATTGTACTTTAGGAAACAGAAAAAATGATGGATTATGCTAATTAATACAGATATAAAAGAGTCCACGTGGAATCCACTATACCTACCTACACCCGTACTGTGTTTGCAAAATCAACTTTTATTACATTATTCTTCTGACGGATTTCGCAAATTCACAAAAACATTAAGACCTCTAAGCAACCGTAACATGCTTGTCGCGTTAGATCTGGCGGATAAGATCCGTTACAACACGCCACCTGTCTTTTTGTAAGGTTGCGGCCTAAATTATGGCGTATTTAGCGGGGAAGATATTTTATAATACATACTAGCTGTATCGCAACTTCACTCAAGTAAATGGTATCCTATATATGTCTAACCTATATATGATGTGGTTTCCCGTAGGTGAAAGAATTTTAAACAACTGTCCAGTAATTTTAGAGTCTATTCAATGGAAACAAATAATCGAACTTTTCTTCTTTATTACATCAGTAACGATATAGAAAGTTCCATTAGATATGAACGTCCTAACAACCAATTCAAAGGTCGGAAGAAATTCTTTCAATTAATATGTTATTAAAAAGCAATTCAGCAGTACATCTTCTTCACAAATTAAATAAATATGGTTGTTCAGTAATTCGCCCGCTATTAGAATATCATCTCTCATCATATGTGTAATTTTTCAATTTAGTAACAACTTTGCCCAACCTTAAGAAATCTTTTAGTTTTTCTGTCATTGGCATTGACTAGCAAATTGTACCTACCTTACGTCTGATTGAGTTGAATAGAGTGCTTACTATTATTTTTGGCATTTACCTTCACTTTTTTTTTAGAATGAAATCCGGCTTAGTGTCGTTTGTGGTAACTTTCAAGAATTATAAACAATTAACGCGCTAATATAAAATTCATATGCACCTCCTTATTTTGGACCGATTTATTCGCTCGATTCGAACCTCGAAGCTCGAAGTCCGAACCCAACTAGAGAGAGATGGAAGTATTTAACTACAATAAGCTGGCGAGGAATGAAAGGTGATGAAGGAAGTCGTTAAGTGAAGGGAAGGTATTACTTATGGTGTATATGACTCAATGTTTTATCGAGATTGCCGTTACTATCCGCATTGTTTGAAAATATGTTAATGAAATCGACGCATGCAATACAATTTCCGATTTAATTGATAAAAGTTTGCAACAAATACGAATAATGGAAATTTTACAAATCATTTTAGATAAGAAAACAATGTTGGGTCATCAAAAAACTTTCAATATGCTTAAATACTTTGAATAAAAATGATTTTCTCTCACTGTAGTCACTGTAGTCAATTAAAATATTAGAATATTATATAAGAGAAGACTCTTGACTTGACCATAATGTAATTTGTTCAAATTCAAATTGAAAGGGGAAAAAAATACGATGTCACTTTATAAACAACATCAAATAATAATATTTTAATTGTCTAATATTTTAAGTTGATGACTTTTTAGTAGTCGTAATAATAAAAAAGTAAGCATGAAACGTCTTAGAAGATAAATGTAATGGGAAGAATCATTTGGCTGTGACGTCATATTATATATAAAGGTATTTAATGTGATCTCAACAACCGACAAACTTATTATTTTATCGCTGGAAATTTAAGCTTCACTATGTCAAGACCTTTTCCACTCATGTATAGAGTGGGCGTTTCTTCGCGGTATCTAAGTACTACCTCTGAAGAGAAGTAATAACTTGAGTGTATGTTATTACTTACGCACAATTTGTATTCAGTAGACGGGAATTTTAAATGACGTAAGAAATGTTATAGATCGGTATTACTCCGACAATACTTGGTGTGTGTATTGTCGGAGTAACTCGGTGGTGTAGTGGATAAGCGCCAAAGCCCGCGATCGTAGTTGTTTAACAACTTTCGGAAGGGTCGGTCACCCATCGCTTTTAGCGATAAGACCGCCTGTGCCCACTAGAATTAAAAAATTTTAACTTTTCAACGAAACTTTTAATTTGTGTGTGAGCAATAAAGAGTTCATCTATCTATTTATCTACCAAAAAGTTATTATCGTGTAAAAAGAGTTTTTACACGAAAATTTTATTCCTCTGTTCTTATCTATCTTATTATTGCGAAAAGAGATAAGAAGATAATAGTTAAACTTTACGTCTCTTCTTAAGGTGATAGTAACAGATAAGGTGTTGAATGATATAATTTATATTACAATAATTATTTTACCTACTCGTATGATGCAGGCGTCTTGATTGAGTTTTTGCGGAAGTCATGATTTCAATTCTAACAAAATATTTTTATTCACAATTACATTTCCCAATGTTATGAAATCGGCTCATTAAGACATTTAAGTCATGAAAACCTAAACACTTTTTAAGTAAAGTCACTAACCAGAGTTTTCTTATCTTATGTACAGTTAATAATTTCGTCACTATCTGTGAAGTAACATCAAGAATCTATGATGTTATCTTTGTGCACTTCCCATTTTTGTGCGTTATCTAAACAACACCATTAACGAATGAACCTTAACAATTATTAAACAATTACGACATATCTAGGTATATATATATGAGTATGGTTTTTGTTTACTTTAAAATACGTGCGCACATTAACGACTTCTTTAATTACTTAGTATGGGTATTCAAAAATTTCTGTCTCAAGTCCGATAAATAACATAGATTATTTTATTGGAAACTGGATAAAAAATTAAACTAACTACACTTAAAAAACTCAAAGGGACATAATGATTAGGGTTGTTCCGTATTCATCCTATGACGTCTCATCCTATTTCTTCTATCATCCCAAATTCTGTATTCCTAATTTTAAAATTGATTTGATGCGTAATTGGACTTTAAATTAGTTGTTGATAAACCTCAACAAAAAATGTATTGCTATACAATACAATCTGAATTGATTCCATGGAGCTCGATGATCAAAGAACTTTCGTAAGGGCCGGTAATGAAATAGGTGACATTCATTTGCATTTTGTTTTTTTTTTATTTGCCGGTAGGTATAGTAGACAAATTAACCATAAATTCACGCCTCGATACTCTTGCACAACATCAAATATTGTTTCAACGTGATAAAAACTCAATAGGGCCCGGATTCTCTATAGCAATAATAACTAAGTGTAATGACCATGTCGATAACAGTAACATCATTTTTGTCTAAGTTAAAAAACTTCAAATAAATTCAATTATTTATTCTAGTTATAAGTCACAAGGTCAATCAAATGCCAAGCAATAATGTCACTCATTTTGTGAGTTAGTTTCATAACATTTTATATTATTTTAAAAATATTTAAAAAAGCAATTGCCAGAATTGTTGTATCCAAGTACAAGGAGCTTACTTCTCTTTAATGAGATGCAATTACATAACTAAAACGATTAATT